TTTGTTTTTCTTTCTTGCAGATACTTTAAAACAGAATTTTTTTCAAATATGTACATTATCCTGGCAAAAAATTTTAAATATTTTTCAACCGACTTATAACAGTAATATTAATAATTGGTAAGATTTTATATTTGAAAAAAAAATGCATCAGTTTTTCCTTAAACGAATAAATGTTAAGTATTTAATCAACTGATATTACACTAAACTAATAATCGTCAGTGCTTCACATAATTTTTTCATTTCGTTAAAAAAAAAAAACGTTTTAACATCTTAGACAGATGATTTAAACAGTGCTCAAAATAGATCAATCTAATTTCAAGTTTACAAGTTTTTTTCTACTTTTAACATTGATTACCAGTAATCGAGTAAACTGTTTAAAACTCGAAAAATAAAATTTAGTTAATAACTTACCCATCACCTTCTCGGTAATTTTTTTAGGCAGTACCAAAATACTTCCCTCAGTGGTAGTTGACTGGCTGTACATATACAGGTTTATATTTATATATACTCATATATTTATTATAGTAGCTGCTAGGTTATGGGATATTTCAGTTACGAAATAAACGAGTGAAAAAAAATTTTTAATCAAGTTTTGAGATTTCACTTCAATTATTTCTACTTTTCTTTCTTCTCTTCTTTCACCACCTCTTTCGCCCACTTAAAAGAAGACAAAGATAAAAAATGAACGGTGAAGAAAACATTTGATAGTAAACGTCAGAAATCCAAAAATCAGAAATGCAAAAGCACAGTAAATGAAGGTAACATTTTCAGATGTAGAAATTAACATTGAATTATTTGAGTTGAGAAAAAAACACAGTTGTTGATATGTTAAAGCAATTCTGAACTGATAAAATTTTATTGTTTTGTTTTTCTTCAAATGTTTTGAAATGTTATTTAAGTGACAAATATGTATTACTTTAGTAAAAAATTTGAAATATTTTCTAAGTCAAGTATAATAATTAACAATAGTGTCTTATGTTTTGAAAAGTTGCAACTAATTTGCAAAATTTTAAAGTAATTTATTTTTCTACTTTACACTGTTTAACACTTCTATTGTTTTACTTCAGTTACTATTGCTGTTTGAATTTATCACTTCTGAGATCATAAAATTAAGCCTGCTATTGTATTGTTCAGTCGACAAAGCAAAAAAGATATAATAAAATTATCAGGTAAAAGTAATTTAACAGACATGGATTTGAAGAGCATAAAATTAGATATAAAAAGAATCAGTGAAAATAAAACCAAATTTTTTAAAAAGTTTTTGAACCTCAGGTTGTAAACGAAGACGATTTTTAATGCAAAAACAGATGCTGTGCTAAATTCATTACAGTCACTGGTTTTCAAAGTAGGCAATATCGTCGCAACAGACGACGATAAAAAATACCGTAAAAGCGATAGAATCTTCAAAGTAGTACAAAGACGATAAGCTCTATAAAAAAAATCTTGAAGAGTTTAGAAGTTTATTGTGGAACCAAAGATTAGAGTTGATTCTAAACATTACAGTAAAATTGCTTTTTTAAAAATCGTCTGTTTTTTTTTTTTGATAAAATTTTAGAAGCAATAAACAATTAGCAAAATTTTTTGGTAAAAAAGTTTCTTTTCTAAAATAAAGACTAATAAATTTGAGAAAAAAATTTGAGAAATATTGTATTATAATTTTGTATTTTCCTGCAGTATCTAAATTTAGAAAAACTGAGGTATAAATTTCAGCAGTTTGAGATTACTTCAAATAAAATTTCAATAACAAAGATTGTTTTGCAAGAATAATTTTCTTGCAAAAAGTTTAATCTTTGTATTATCAATACAAAAATTTGAATATTTCTAAGAAAATCTGACAAACAGTTCACACAGAACTCTATTGCATGCAGTAATTTTTATGCATAGTACTTTGAATACCTTTTTTTTGCTGCTTTTTATTACCAATTTTCTTGCAAAATTGTAGAAAGTATAGTACAAAGTCCGCAATCTGAAGGCTCCAGAAAGCAATTGTTACAGCATACGTAGAAATGACCAGTGCAAAAAGAGAGTCTGATTTTAAATCTGTCCAATTTGGAATAATAGCAATGTAGCTGACCATTCGGTTATTTTTTCTGAATATGAAATCTGTACAATTGATATAATTATATAAACACTTGGAAAGACTTTTATCTTTTGTAAACTATCAACTAGTCAATTAAGTTTCTTACCAAATTCTAACGTTATTGCAGTGCAACAAAAAATTTCTATTGTTGCAGTTGATATTTCAAGGATAAACCAGCAGATAAATAATATATGCAAAAAGAATAAGAAAAACGATTTGAAATATTGTGATAAAAGCCTGAGTACTGAATTCTAAATGTAAAACTTCTGCTTTTAGATACTATATTTTTACCTGTTTTTGATAGAAGACGTTGCTTCCAAAATTACAAATCAATTTATGCATGCCAAAGAAAGAATATTTTTAAAATTTATATAGAGGTAAAGGTCATCATTAAAAACAAAAGCAAGGCAAAAAAACCAGAATTTGTTATACACTTTCATCAAACTGAAAAGATGCTCAAGATGGTATGACTGTAGTCAGATGAAAAAGCCAAGGTTAGCCCTAAAAAAATGAAGTTTTTAAGTGTCGCCAAACTTATAAGCTATCTGATTAATTTTTTATGCATAGGCTTTAATAAGAAGTCAAGAAATAAGTCGGTTTTTTAAATTTTTATCTTCTTTTATTTTGTTTATCTTTTTAAACTTAAATTATAGCCAGCTGTAAAAAAGATGAAGTCTTTTCAAAAAATGAAGTATTGCTGTTATGGTTGCTGTCAAATGTTTATGCAGTTCATTAGCTTCGGTGTGAATTTTTGCAAATAAAAATACATTAAAATAAACATACGTCAAATACCGACTGATAATCTGCTGTAAAAAAACTAATGTATCAACTAATTTTTTTGTCTGCTTTTTCATTTATACAGCATAAATGCGCTAATCAACAAAAGCTTACAACTACTTGAAATAATAATTTCATTTTATTTGGTATAATTGTTACATTAAACTACAGTTCCAATCATCAGTTCAGTTCTTCTAATTTGCTTTAGAGAACAGAAACCTTTTTCACCGCAGTTTTATTGATACGATTGTCCAAGATTTACAAATGTAACAACAGAACACTTGACACTGGAATAAACTTATCCGAATAGCACCAAATAGTATTTGTTTTTCATAAATGCTATTTTTTGCCACTCAACTTTTGCTGAAGTTTTCAAGTTGCTACATATTATATATATAATTAAAATTGTAAAGCTTTGTTTATTGGTTAGCAGAGGAGCAATCCTTTCAATGCTTACAATTCAATAGCACATTTTTTTTTGTTTCAATAGACAAAACAAAAAAAATATGTGCCTAAATAAAAAGAAAACCACATAAAATAAAGAACTAACAGCATAATTTAAGCAAAAAATATTTCTAACTTCTTGAAACTGTTGATTTTAGAACGAATAAATTTGGTCACTGCTAATGCTACGAAAACATCAAATTTTTAAGAGTCATTACGAAAATTGTGATTAAGGTTTTTTGGTTTACTGTAAATGACCAATTTACCAACATCAGAGTAGTGCAAAATAATCTAAATTTTTAGACATTCAGTGCCGTTGGCTTAACATTAGTTGTTATTTGCTAAATTTATGCCTAAGCAATAAGCATTCATTAAACTCTTCAAAATTCTATAAGCCTGCATTGCACACTTTGTAATCACATGTTTATTGTGAGAGACAAACAAGTTGAGGAAAAATCTTTTTAGGAGCTAAAAGAAATAAATTAGCACCAGTGTTTAGCAAGTATAACCGTACAAATTTAGAGTGCCTAGAACGATTAATTTTATAACTTTCAAACAAGATGTTGTTTAGGAAAATGTCAAACAATCAAGTGAAGCAGTCTGGCTTTAAATTACAGAATAATAAATAAAAGCCATACAAACTTTAGGTTTCGGTTAACTTTTGAGAGACTGTCATCAAGACGGTAGTAGGACCAATGACTGTAGTAGTATCGGCGTACTATAATTTCAGATAACACTCATAACAATCTCTTGAATTTTTCTTTTTTTTTACTGCATAAGTTTTGAAATTAGGTTAAAATAATTGATATTTATTCATTTTGCATTTTCTAAGCATCTATCTCTTTCTTTGCATACAGACACACACTGTAACTCTGCAGAAAAAAAAACTGCAAATTCTACACCAAAATAGAACCTTGCAATGATACCACTGAACTGTAAGCCGCTGAGCGGAACTACTTCCAGAGTACACACTGTGTAACATTCGCTTTGTTCGGACGGGCAGAGGAGAGTTATTGCAGTTTAGCAGCCCGTTTGCCAGGGCTATTAGTCGACGGGCCGACAACAGGGATGCTTTCAGCTCTCAACTACTACATCAATCGTTCGTCATTTTATACACTTTTTTTTTCACTTTTCTTTTATCAAATCGTCTTTAATTTCTTATTCAAAATTTTATATTTCAATGTTTTTCTTGTCTCAGATACTGCTGTTTCATTTGGTGTTATCGCTTATACGCAACAACTGATTTAGAAGAAAAGCTGTTGTCATCAACGGACCGTGCGCTATTGAAGCTGCAAAAAAAAGTGCAGTTTCAGCAGCGTTAGTTTGACTTCTATTTTACTTTTATTTTATAACAGATACTGCTCACCACTTGTAACTGGAAAAAAAATTTATACAAATTTAAATTTCTTCTTCTTCTTCTTTTTTCTGCTTAGACTAATAGTATATTTACAACTGATTTTGTCAGAGTTAATAATACAACTTTGGGCTGCTATGTTTTGGAAAATAAAAACAGACTTAAAAACACTAAACCTGTGCAGATTATACTGAATTGCAAACGTTTACCATTGAACGCATCGTTTAGTCCATCATCAAATTGACTAACGGCATTTTATTTGATGCTTCTGAGAAATTAATGAGGTTTTCAAGCAAACAATTAATTTGGTTAATTTAAGATAATGGAGATGAAAGCGGCTTGGGAATGTCATTTCTTGCGGCCTTGCGAGAAGCCGGTAAAACCGCAGTCATTTAACCTTGTCTTATTTTTTTTGCATTTTCAGTTGTATAATTGTTTGTTTTTCGGTTAATCGTTATTTCATTGGTTTTTGA